ATTGTGTAGACGTAAGACAAGATCGCAGAAATAGAGCGAAGGTAGACGATCGCATTCATGATGAGGCCTGAGTCATGACTTTTCTCTTGTAGATCAGCAGAATCTCTGCGGTTGCTTTCTTGCAAATTACGCTCCGTTTGCCAGCATTTATGCGTCTCCACCTCTTCCTTTGTATATCCCCTGACAATTCCCTTGATTACCCACCACTGAATAACCTATGCTGTCCCATAGTCCGATTTCTTGAACGTGATAACGGCATAGAGCAGCGCCACCCATCCCAGACTCCATGTTAGTGATGGGCGGTCCCATTGTCCAGTGTTGTTCCAGTCCATTGGTAAGAATAGCCGTCGAGATGGCGACCACCAGATTCCAAGACTGCGATGGAAGTACTTTGAACAATGACAAATGAAACAGGAATTAGTGGCTGTGCAAGCTGTCCCTTTTTTTTTGGATTTGACGTTGGATATTAAGATGCCGTCACGCGCTTTTGCCCCCGGTGCGAGCTCTAGGCCATGTGGATCTGTACGAAGTCAATAATCTTAAATAATGATGCCGTCCGTTTTCCTTCTTGTTAAACACGTAAAATTTCCAGGTTTCGGAAAATAACCAAAATTTATTTACCGACAGAGATGTTCCCGCTTTTGGCATTTTTTCTCGCAACGCTTTCGGCTGCATGTGAGGAGTGAATTGGCGATCTCCACATCACGATGGGATAGGGCTTTCATAATGAAGGAAATACGTTCGTGGTAGTGGTGCTTGCAAGCATGTCTACCTCAATGTTCTTCATGCTTATATTCACACCGAAGAAGTGGAAGGAGGGTCCTTGCAAATAGCTTCCGTTTCATCTAGATATTGCAGATTCAAGTGCGTCTGCATTGATCTTCGAACGTGATGGTTATTATCTTTCTGATGGTGTTACACTCCAGGACGACGCTTTCGTTGGTGGCAGCCAGGCCTGAGGTATCCGTAAGTCATCTGTGGGAATCATGTGATGTACGATCTTCCATTACAAGACATTTGTTACGGATCTCTGGCGTCTCGTTCCCTTTGCTTTCTAAAGGATACTTCTACCATGCTTGACTCCTGGTAGTCTATTTCGCAGACCGTGCACAGTTACGATGACGGGTCTGTTCTGCTTGGGTTCTATTCTTATATCCCGACAGCTAATTTCTCCTCTTTCCTCCTGCGATTTCGTCTTTATTGCTCTGGTACGGCGAGTCTTCGTCCCACCGCGGTGTATCTAGCTATGAAACTTTGTGTCTGCCTTTTCGCGTCCCATGATAGCGTTTATTGTGAAGCTGCGCCATGTCTTGGATGGTTGGATGCGTCATGTCGTACACCAGTCATATCATGTGCTATTTTGTGGATCGGGTTTCAACAGTCATCAATTGCAATCCCAGAAATCCTATAGAACACCGCTGAAACTAGTGAGAAATTACCTCCCAAATCAGTAGCGCTCGAAACATCTACGAACCCTATTTACGAAACAAGAATCATATACACTGTTCTTATTATCCTGCTTGTACCGCAGATCGACTTTAGCTTATTCTGACCTCCATTGAAGTTCCTATCGCCGAGGCTTGTGGAAGTGCTTCATGCACTTGTAGCCCGTGAGTACTCGGTGGCTTCGTATGAAATCCGGCTTATGGATGGATGATTTACAGTTGCTCTTTCATTGCCAAAGAGCGCAAATGGTGTTCCTGGAAGAACTAAATAAATTTCCTTCCTGCGAATTGTCTTCGTACAGAGTATGGTTGGCAGCGAGATTTTCTGATTCAATTCTTTGAGCGGCTCAACGTAATTGAGTGACGAACATCTTTAATTGTATGGAGCGTCGAGAGTAACATTTCCTGCTAATTTTATTTAGCTTATGAATTTTAACTTGGCAGGGCGGAAAGCTGGTCGGAATCAATGGCGTACGTTCTTCCATTCATATATTATCTGCTTAGTCATGCCCTAGCGCTGCCACCTAAATCTTCGGTGAAAGGACCTTCGGCTCCGCTTTTGGTAGCTATTTCAAGGTTGCAAGGGGAGAGTTCATGTTCATGCGCCATCGCCTTAGTTGAATTCACATTTTCAGACAAAATATAATTCGAACAATCCAATCTTTTTCTCCGGCGTCAGCCTATTCCTGTACTTGTTGACCGATCTGGACTGGCCGGCAAGATTTCTGTGGTTCATCCATCCATCCATGCAAGGGAAAGGATGGAGGGATCGGGGGAATGTCTTCTGAGAAAGGAAGAACGACTCTCCAGCCAGCGTTTCGTTCTCCCAAGATAAAGGGAGAAAGCGTTTGGGTTGTAAACGACCCCCACGTTCTCAGAAGACGCGGCCCCTCAAATTCAATTCCTAGCGCTCACGGATTCTGAGTCTCTTTGTCAGGGATTGGGTGCCTGCCGGAAGAGCGAGCGATGGTTGGGGTGGAGGGGTTTGGGGGGTAGCTGCTCCTTTCTGTTCTTCAATGACCCGCATAGATATAGCATAACGACTAGTGCCCGATAGCTGGGGGTTCGATTCCCTCTATCCCAATGCATATGCAGTTGGTGTTTTTTTCACATTCACATTCCATTATTTCATTTGACGGTGCTCTGAAAGGCTCTCGGGCGGTATGGAGAAAACGACATACACCATTCACACGAAATCCACCTGCATGCGTTTCCTCCAATCAAGAGGAGAGAAGAGAACAAATACGTAGTGCTACTATAGCGAGGAGGAAGTTCGGCAAAACCCCATGGACCTCTTCTTCAATTCGTTCCCTGATTCGAATATGACATTCAGTGCCTGGGTTCGAATTCCCCTGTTCCCTCATTAAGCTTGAGGGATCTCGATCATTGTCCACGGTTTTACCTTTCTCTCCATGGGGGGAGGGGCCTGAATAACGAACCCTTCGAGCGTAATGGATCACGGCTTCAACCTCAGGGTTCGATTCCCTCAGTCGCAATGAAATGATAGAGAATGAAAATTTTTTATCCCTTCTTTTCACATTCTAGTTTAGAGTGCACTGATTCCCTTATTTTTGCTAATGCAGCGTGAATAGATTCGGGAAACAATAGTTCCTCCCGGGGATGTCCTCTCTCAGCTCTCAGGTAGTCAGTCCAGATGTTGTTTTTCAAGTGTGTGTTTATCTACCTGATCGTGTACTGGTATTCAGGGTTAGCAGCAGCAAGTAAGATCGAATGATCGGCTAAGTTGGTCTCTGATCCCTTCCTCCAAATCATGATGAAGTTGTCGAAGGAAACACTTACTGGTGGTTCTGTAAATTCCACGTCGTTTTCCAACTAATCTGCTAATATACGTGACGTAATGGCAGATATCATTCATTAGCTGGAGATTCAATTCCCTCTATCCATCCCATCGGAGACTCAGAATAGATCGATTCCTTTTTTTGACGTTTAACTTTCTTTTGACTTCTGAAAAAGGCCCCTGAATTTCCCTGCATGCGTGCATTGCGAAGAGGAGCAGAGAAATGTACAATTAGGTGAGTCATAGCTTGAAAGGAACTGGTTTGGCAACAATTTCGCTTTGTCAGTTCATTCTATGATTCGGGTATAACCATTTGGATGCAAGGTGAAATGGCTGGATGGGTTCGACTCCCTATCTCCGAAATGATGACTGAGGGACCCCTTTTTCATGGTGATTACATTCTCTTCACGGGTTATCGCAAATGCCCTTGATTGTTAACTGCATTTTCTCTTTTCTTCTAACGTTGCACATAAATCTAGCGTAGGAGTTCTGCTCGGTACCAGTTTAGGGTTCGATTCCCTCTTCTGTGTTGAATAAGGAGTGCACGAATTTCCTTATTTTTTTCACTTGGATTCTTGTCTCTCGTTCTTTCAATGGGGCTTGTTCAAAATAATTGGTAGGATCATGGAGTCAGAACCACCCTAGCGCCAGGTACAATGATGGTTAATCAAAGGCGGGCGCGTGTATGGATTATGGGAAGACCCACCGAGATCTGTTCAGTAATTATCCAATTTGTTCAGCCATCAGATCCTTCGTACTGGGAATTTTGGAGGTGACGGACGACCTATGCTCGGACATTTGGCCTGGACCAAGGAGCACAAGGGTGGGTTGGAGCAGGAAGGAGCTGCCTATATATATGATAATCCGCTACGAAGTATATTTCTGTGGCTAAAATACCTCGCTGTCATTGCGAGAGCAGCAGTCAAGAAGATATCACGTTGCCGCGCCACTTTTTTCTTCCTGACATTGGATGTTGCCATTTTTGGCAAGTCTGTTGCTTTGTCTCTCGCACCGATTACCATTCGGAACCGGCTCTGATATAGATTCTCCATCACCGCTCTCGAACTCCGAGGCTGCGATCACGATTCTCTGTGTTTCCTTCTTCCTTTTGCGGGCCCCGCTTTTTTGTCTAAACAAATTACACTACACTCTCCGACACGCACAGACAGATGCACGACCATCCAACGTGGAAACTTCGACGACGGACAGGAAAGGAGACAGCGGTGAAAGTAGAACCGAAGGAGGAGCAACTCGAAACCACAAACCACCTCCTTCATTCTCCCTTGCCTCCTCCTCCTCAAGGCTGGGAACACCCTGCAGAATTGGACTACCTCGACGCCTCCACATGGTCGAAAGATGACATCATCCGCCACCTCATCACGAACTCCTTCTCCGTCCCCGCTCTCGTACCCCACTCCAAATGGACGACCATCATCACCGCAGCGGAGGGCTCGACGACGATGCTCCCCAACTCGTACCGCATCCCGCTCATGTTCGTCGGAGAGTTCATGTGGTTCTCGCTTCGGTTGGTCCTCGAGGATGAGAAGGAGTGGGAAAAGTTCAAGGGCGGGGTGTTGCATGTGTCGAGGCTGTGCGAGGCGTTCTTGGGAGAGGCGAGGAGGGCTATGGGTTCGGAGGGTCTGGGCGCTGCATGGCGGTGCGCGGTGTTTGATAGAGCGCTGGTGAGGTATCGGTGGGGGTGTTTGTTTTCTGACCGGAAGCATCTCCAGCTGTTTTGGGAGACTTATGGGGAGCAGGAGTATCGGAAGGATCCGGTTAAGTTTTGTGGGTCGTTTGTTTTTTTTGTCAACGTTCTGAGCCGATGAAATCGAATTGTAGTTTGGAACCGGGTGGCGTTGAAAGGGCGGAAGGAATTCAAACTGGACAAGGAGCACATTGAGACTGGGGTTACGGCGTGTCAGTGGATGAGAGGGTTGGCGAAGGAGGATGGCGGCGATTGGGTATGGGTTACGGATCAAACAAGTTCGCGTTCGACGGAGGCATCGGAGTATCTCGAATTGTGGCAGCGCACAAAGGTATGGGGACAACCGATACCGACATTGCCATCCAGGGATCCGGTGTGCGCGATAGGTCCTTCGCCCAATCTCTCAAAAGACTTGCCTACACCTTTCGATGCCATCCAATCCCCATCCAGGGGTCCCGATCAACCAACACAAATATCGTGCATCTCCCGACCTCGTGAGCCCGTGTTTGCCACAACAACGGATCCTCCTCCTACCGATACCATCCACTCCACCCCCACGCCGGTTCCGAAAACCGACCTCTTGCAAATCCTGCATGCCCAATATCAATCGCATGAACTGCGTATAAACTCTTTAGAAAAAGACATCGCGAGGCTGAAACAAGGGAAAGGATACAGGTCCACCGCCGCTGCATCCGTTCCTGCACTCTTTGTCCCAGCGCCTAATTTCCCAAACCTTTCCGACCCGGACTGTTCGACGAGCTTCTGGAAGGACCCACTAGAGGCGCTGTTGGATGCGGATGTATGCGAGGCACCTGGATCTGTGAAGGCTGAGGATACACTCGAGGAGGTTGCATCCGTGATGGATCGCGACGTTGTGATATCACCGCCGATTAAGTCTCCACGAAAGCTGAAACGAAAGAGGATTGGCTGATATTTGTAGACGAGTGCGATTGGTGGGCTTGGGCTCTGTGGTTGAATATGATTACTTATCTCTGTGTTTTTCTTTTTTCTTCGCGCCATGGTGGTGACCAGGATATGCTGTGCTATTTGCGAGATGTTATAATCCCAGCTCTAATCAGACGTCAGAAGAAACCGGCGGGGTAAGAGCCGAACCACGTCTATGTCCTGACCAGTCGTCCAGCTTGAGCTTTAATAGTAAACTTACACATTCTACCCTTACGGAATGTACCGGAGGCCAGGTGAATTTTGCGTTTTCCATTTGCACGAGTGCATTCGCTTGCGTTGATTTTCGTTTTGTTTGTGACCATTTGCATTCTTACCAATGCCTTCATGACATCAAAAATACATGTTAGTACATATGATTGCAGAGAAAATATTCACTCCAGAAAGTCTTCGATCCCTAAAAACTTTTACAACTGTTATGGACAGACTAAAGTGTTAAGTTAACTGTTTGGGACCTAATAAATGGTAAATTTCCTGCCCAATAGGTCTTCCTAGCCAATGCAATAGCATAGTTCTACAATAATTGTGTTAGAATACCAATGGAGCCCCAGTGTGAGGTCAGGAATCAAGGGATCCATATGATTTAATATTTAAACAATGGATCCGAACCATCAATCAAAATGTATTAATGTATGTATCCTACCATGTGACAGTGTGTTATATCACTACCATCAGCCAGTCATATGACCCTTCAATTAATAAATACCTTGCTCATCATCACATCCATCCTGCATCACTCATGATAAGGTCCACCCCCAACCTTTTCTAGAAATTCCCATGTCTATAAATATTAATAGTCTAGATCTATCATTAAAATTGATTGTTTAACATCTTCACCTGATTAGATGTGCCTTGGTGCCTCAAGTGCCTAGATCAATCATTCTACCAATTACACATGTTGAAGCTAAACTAAGCATAAAAGCAGGAAAGCAGAAAAGCAAAAAAGCAAAAAAGTCCAAAACAAATAGACTCTGAGCACCAAAAAGGCATCACATCATACTGAAAGTGATGCAACTATTATCTGAATACACTTATCAACATCCACCACCATTTCCTTCCAAAGTGCCCTATCTTTAGCCTTGAGGGTATCCTGTCTCCACCACATGAGCCCTATGAGGATGGTGACTGTGCTATTTTGACCCCCTTTCTGTAGGTCCTTATTCAGTGGACAATTGTACACTGGCAATAGTAGAATGCTGGTTTTGTTTTGATGCTAAACAGATTGCATTGCATTCCACCACTTGCACAGTTCCATCAAAAAGCTAGCAGGAGGATTCAGATAGACATTGTAGTGGCAGTTAGCAAGCCAGAGCAAGAGCACTGATGGTCTTAATGACAGCACACCCATACATCCCTAAAAGCTGAGTCAATAACCTATACAGCAAACAAATGGCAGTGATGCTTACCTTGCCAGGAGAATGTCCTTGCATCTGCAATATGTGTGCCTCAAGGTCCTGCCAGTTGACAAGTGAGTCCTGCCATTCTGAGTCCAAAGTCAAATTCATGAGATATCTCACAGCTGAGGGCAACCAGCCCATTGTGATGATCCCACAAGGGCCTGAAGGCTTATGAGCATGCTTGCTCACCCTCATCTCTGAATTCCTCTCATTATTGTCTTCTTCAGCATGGTTTTGTGTTTGCTTAGTACCCCATACAGTGTTTCAGTGTATTGCATCAGTTATTCTCTTTTGGGCTGGAAGCTTCAGATGCTACATCAGCATGCTCCCAAATGAATGGCATCTCTGACCCTCCCTGGTCCTCAAGCTGATCCTCAAATTCAGCATCATCATGTGGAGAAGATAGCAGAGGTAGCTGATTTGAAGGAAGATGGAGATCATCAGTATGAGGCTGCTCTAGACCCCTCAAAAGGAAATTGAGATTGTTGAGATGTTTGAATGGCATGGTCAGTTCCAGTGCTGGTGGAAAAACAGCTGATGTAGAGGGAAATACAGTTAATATTGGAACATCCAATATTGTAGAAAGTGGTAGGGAAGAAGGGCTAACTGGTGGACCAGGAGAGAGGGTGACTGATACAGTTGATGCAGGAACCTGGACCAGTGGTGCTGCTGGCAAGATTAGAGAAGGATAAGCAGTAAGTGAATGAGAAGTGGGTGATGCAGGGGAAAGGGAGAGCATAGGCAAAGGGAGAAGAGAGGGCATACTTGGACCTGCTTGTCCTTTATGATCAGCTGTATCATTCAGAATATCAAATTGCCCTTGGTTGAGAGCATACTGAGCTCTCACTTCAGAGGCTGAAATACAATAAGTAGAATAATCTTGCAAGGAAAACAGTGAACTCATGGAACAGTGTTTTCAAGAAGCAACCATATCATGTAATTATGCTTTTCTCAAATGTTCAATGCTGATTATTCAGGTCATCTGGATCAATAGAGAATGCTACATACTCATTGAGAAAAGTACAGCCATGGGTGGTTTGACCAATGTGAAAGCTATACATGTTTATCAATCAGCATAAATTCAAAAGACAAGAATCACACTGTGCTCATCTACAGGTATGTATATTCCCATTGTCTGTAGGAAGAGGGCCCTCTGCAATGACAGAAAACCACCAACTCATCTGGTATGCAAGTTCTTGTAACAAACACTGCAATAAAGCTGGTGCTTGGTCAATAGCCCTGGCAAAATTGAGGTCAGTAAACAGTCACATTGGTATGGCAACCACTTACTTGAGGTAGTCTGCCAGTGATTGCTTTGCCTCCCCTTCTGAAATTTCCTCATATGATTCATGCATGGCAGCCAGTATTTCCTCCTTAATTGAATCTGTTTTTGCTTTGAATTATTTGGCTGTAATTTGATTACTCAAATTCAACTCTGCACTGCACTCCAGTGGTTCCATATTTGCATTCAGGGCTTCCTTGACATATGGCTGTACATGAGTTGAAAAGTAGCATTGAGAGTATATTTGAACCACACAAAGTCAGTGTACAGGCTTGAGGTTGAACAGTAGTTTTTTCTTTTTCATGAGCATTGCCAGATTGCCATCTAAATTAATGATAGCTGTGATAGCTCCTTTGTGATGCTTATTATTGAATTTCTGTCATATTTGCTGTCAAATGGTCAATTCCAAGTATATACACACAGACTGTTACACATCTTTTTTCATGCTTGATATAATACATCCTGTGCCATGTGCTTTACATTTGCCTCTGAAGAATCTCCAACCACTTCCTCACAACCAGGGATTGGCTATTTATCATTGAATTTCTTAATCATTTCCTTCACAAATATTCCTACTCTACCCTCCAGCTATGCTTGGTTGTATGCAGCTTGTTGGACAGAGAACCACTGATGTTGTTCTTTGGTCACCCACTTTTTTGGCATCTAGAGCATACAATTAATCACTAAGTTGCACATGTATATTCTAGACTGTACCTTTTACTTCCAATATCCCTAAAAGAAGATCATATTAATCATTTTGTGAAAATAGAAAAAATAGAGATCATACCTTGTTTCTGATCTGAGTTTGATCTCATTTTTTCATCTTCTCAGCTGTTATACTGACATGCTGTTATTGCAAGATTCAGCAAATTCCACAACTGTACAGTTTACAAGTGGCTTTGTATATGGGATAATCAACAATACTAGTCCAACACCAACAAAAAAAAGAAATTATGGCTCAATCTCCCTCCTCTTCTGCTAATCTTCTCTCTGGCAACAATGCTGAGCACTCCTGTAGTGAGAGAAGGTGAGTCATCACTCATAAAATATTTCATGCAGTAAATATTTACACAACTGCACAGTATCTACCTAAGTGCCTCTGACACCCACCAAGCTGGTTTCTGCCCTCAAAATTGTATCTGTATCAGAGACTCCACATTTTCCTCCTCCAAACTCATTCAATTCTCCTCAAGTGTAAACCTCAACATTACCATAGTACACAGTGACCATTGGTTATGATGTGGGAGTATTCCAAGGCTGGTGAGCAGCCAGTTTCTTTTTTCCTTGCATCATTAATCTAGTAGTATAGAGATCAAGTTGCTCCCTTAGTGATTGGTGTATCTGGCACTATCTTCCAATGTCACCCCTCTGTTGTCTCTCCACATGCTTATTATATTAGTGCCTTGACTTGCAATGATGTCAAGGTCATCCCTCAACTAGGCTATGAGAACAATGACAATGACAATGATAACTATGATGACAATGATGAGTAGAGATTGAGAATCCCAGTCAGATTGGGTGGGAGGAGTTCTTTTAATATATATATATATCTAGAATGTTCCCCTATGTTAAATACAGTGCCATTCACTTGCTTCACAACTGAGAGAGAAAAACAAAGAGTGAAAAGTTAATTTGAAACTAAGGTATGGATGGGTTTATATGCTGATAGAGGAGTTGCTGTGATTCATGGGAGCATACCAAACCCTCCACACCATACCCATTATCTCCATACTGGGTGTGCCAAATGGATACTGGTCTGGTTTCTGTGTGTAAGATCTTTGTATTCATGCCAGTGTGTGAATATCTTTTTATATATGATAATTTCATGTGTGAACCCAATAAATTGATCAAGTATGGTACTCTAAAACACTTTGCTAAGTCAAAAACTTTGCATCAGGTTCCACCTCAGCACCAACTATCCCCACTTTCCATGCCTTATTACATTCCTGATATCTGTCACCATATGCCTCTAAAATTGCAGCATGTTGTCACAATTCAGCTGCCATTTGACTGAATGTCACAATCTCAATTGGTTTAGACCATTGCTTCAAGTGGAGGGCAGTAGTAGCCTCATATTGGTGAGCAATGCAATCCCATTCATGAAGCTGGGTGGCCCTATCAAGGGACCAAAACAGCCACTGTAGGCTATTCTTCACTTGCTGATTGATAGAGTCAGTAGCATGCTCCTAGTGCAAAACATTGTTCTCATACCTGCTTCAGAGTATCTACCTCTGTTTTGCTGAGATCTCTCATAGGCCAGTGTATAACAAAGCACTTCCAGAGTGACTCAAACTAGGCATTGGCATGTTCTAAATGATATTGTGTCTTCAGAAAGTGGAAGAGTGTGGAATATTTGGTGAGATAGTCCTTTTGCAGTGCTGTCAGATGCATCTAAGGTACAGTAAGTAACATCATGCAATATCAGATATGATCAGACCTTTTCAGAGGATTTGATACATGAGTATGCTATCAAACAAAATAAGGGGGAACAACTTGCTGCCACTTGAAGAACTGTACAGTTACTTCCCACAGTCAGTTCCAAAGCCCTCAGGATTGGATCCATGCCATAAAGGCTAGTGTATTACTGGTCCAAGCTAGCAGAAGATAACTTGAGTGCACAATACAGGCTATCCAATGTATTACTTGTATAATGAATGAGCCAACAGGAGTATGTACTTTGTTGCATGTGAACAGCACCAAGGATGTGTTGAAAAGTGCAGGTACAAAAATATAAAAGGATACATTCTCAAAAGCTGAAAATGCTATTTTCTACTGATGGCTGTGCTGCATACTCCCAAGCAGACCAAGTGGCATCATGTTGGATGGCACTCTCATGCTATTGAACTCTTCTCTGATTCTTCTAATGTTCCTCTGATATCATGCTCTCACCATCACCAATCATGGTCTTTTCTGGCAACATAGAAAGTTACATCTTCTATCAGACAAAGAATAGTCCACCTCCCAGTCTCACCACAGAAGAAAAAGACAAATCATAGCCAGCACAATGATAACCTTACCTCTGTTGACTACAACATCCTGAATGAGGCATACCACCTGGATTCACAAGCATATACACTTGCTATGGTTAGAAATATGGAGGATGCTGTAATGGCACCACATAAATGTGTTTACACAGTAAGTAATTCAATTATCAGCACCATGACTGTGATATCATTGTTAATGTATATCTGCTAGTATAACCCTCTCACAGTCTTCAGTGCCCACATAGATGACTATCTGAGTGAAAGTTTGAGGCATGAAGGGTGAGATGATGCCATCTCACAGCCTCACTGTAGAGGTGCATTAAATGTTCTAATGAGGATTTTACCTACTAGTATGTTACATGCCAGAACACAAGACTGTTCTGTAAGTCATGCATGGTAATGGCACATCAGAGTTTCCCTACCCATATCATTCAGGCACATATTCTTATTCAGTTGAATTCTGTCACTCACTATGTTTAAACATTGGAATGGTGATTACTTTGACAAGATTCTGCTCTGGAAGCTTGGTTTATGCTATCAGGTGGGGCATCTCATAGGTGACATCTGTATTCATCTGAGGCCTGCATTTGGCAGCTATATTATGATTATAGATACAAATGGTGTTCATGATGTTGCTCTGAATTTCTGTAGTTGCCCATGCAAATATCCACTAGCTAGCTAACTCCAACATGCATGGCTTTTTCCAGGAACTGTGATAGAGTCTTGCACCACAGTCACTATTGCAGCTCTAAAGCAATTTCAGATGCTTATGTTTATGGGCAAGCTGTCAGCTTATGAGTACTATCATTCTTTCACAGCTATCAGATAATACAGGAACTAATACACCTGTTACGATTTGATTTATTTTTTCTCCCCTTTTCTTCTTCTCAACCCCTATTTATGCTTAGTCAAGGCATCTAACCCAGCACTTGGAGACTGTGGGACAAGGCTTAGTCAGCACAACAAGGCCAAGCAACCATTTGTCTTCAAATTATTGACAACAGTCAGTGATGCACAAAAACCCTTTTATGTACAGTAACAACAACCAAGGACAAAGGACAAAAGAGCAGAGAGATCCACAATAGTTACTGTAGCAATAATAGCATGACATGTATAGTATTTAAGGAGCTCACTCTTGCTGGCTAAAACCCAGCTTTGAGCTAAAGTTTACAACTATCATTCTACCTCAAGTTTATATCTGACCTTGAGTCATATCGAGTATGAGTACACACTCAGTGGACTCAGCTGATCCCTTGAAGTGCAAAGGGATGGCTGTTTATCATGTGTATCTGCTCACATGATGCTTGGGCATAACAATTAGCTCAAAGCTTCCCTGCTTCCCTTTCTCAAGCCCAATTGTGCTGAGAAACTGAATGCCCCCTGCAATCTCCACTGACCCAAACTTTGACCACAAGTTCTTTGAACTCCTCTCTTCTATCATCGGAACATTGATAAGACTTTTGGTGATCATCCAGCTGTACTGGGGATGCCATTCCATTACTGCCTGAGCTCTCAGACATTATAATGAATTTCTACATATCCAAGAAATCCTATGAAACATAACCCCCAACCTCCCTCTCCATAACATCCCCAAATCCCAAAGAATGACCTACCAGTCCCCAGAAGCTGGGCCTAGTGGCACACATTCAGGGAATGGTCAAAAAGAAACAGGAGGGCAATGCCCCACCTGATCTGGAAACACAAACCCTGGCATCTCAAGAGGGAACAGTATACTTGTACGAGGACCACCCCCCAACTATGAAGATGAAGATCTCCCAGAGGACTTCTTCCAGCAGTCCCCCTCCCCCTCTTCCACCTCCCATACCCATGGGATTGCTGACCATACCAGGGACTCTCTCGATGCCCCTTGGATGGCTTGATGATCCAGCCCCAGAACTCCTTGAAGCCAGCCTCACAGCCCCCATCCCTCCACCAGGATCAGCTCTGGGGTGCGGTGGGTTCTCTCAGAAAGTGAGCAACAATGACAAGTATGAGAAGACACCATCCACTGGTACTTTCCAACCTGGGACCTCACCATCCTGTTTAACTATGATGATGCCATTCGACAGGAGGAGTGAAGGCAGCAGAATGAGCTGCAGCCAGTACATCATGAGCCTGAAAGGATGGACATGAACGACGAGCAGCAGAGGCAGGAGGAGCTCCACAGGGACAAGCAGTGAGCTGTCAAAAGGGCCAGACTGGAAAGGGCCAACATTAGCATCTGGTATGGGCTACAACCCAAGGTCGCTAGCATTCTTGCACCCATATAGGCTGACCCCTCCATGCTGCCCTCCATCTTTCAGGAGCCCAGTTCCCCAAGCAGTGGAACTCCAGAGCCCTGGACCCAAGCCCAGCAACATCCAAGGGCCCCGACTCTTCAATATCTCCCTCCCTCCTGAACTCCCAGTGCCGACTCCACCTTTGGAAGTGATGAGTCCATCCTTGGACATATGGACTATGGGTCCCCAGAAACACTCACATCTCTGCCTGCACCCTCCGAGGCTTTCTCAGAAGTAGAATGGTTGGGCAGCTTATCGACGATGACTACAGACACAACATCTGCCTCTATCATGAGCGAGTGGAGGTGGCAAGAGTGACTGGGGGAAACTGATATGACCCAGCCATTGGAAGTTGGCCCACCACTGAGTATGAAGTCACTGCAACTGCTGGGCCAAGCACTCAGCCAGGGGAGTGAGGCAATGATCCAGTAAGGGACCACAAAGAGTATTTATGCCCTGTCCATCACTTCCCTCCCCAAGGGGGACAACGAGGATGAGGAAGAAGAAACAGAGAGCAGTGAACCACCCAGGGGACCACCATATGATTTGCAGGAAGAAATGGACAAAGAAGAAGTAAGGAGGCTAACCCAGGAGGAGAGGATGCGAGAGTACCAAGGGTACTACCTGCAGGGAGTAAATTTGTTATGGCATGATGCTACCTGAGTAGCATTGCAAATCAGACAGCTGTATATGCATTCAGAAACTAATAAACAAACAGAAATTCTGAGATAGGCAGCAGTGGATTATGCTACTCAACAGTATAATCAATGACATCCTGAGTACCCAGTTAGCTGACCCCCGGCTTACCTGGCATTGTGTACAGTACAACCAATGCCAAGGATCCCCTCTGTCATGCCAAAATGAGCCATATACTGGGCCCCATCAATGTGAAGCATCTTTACAGACTCCAACTATTTGGTACAGATCACAGCAACTCAGCTCGCCCAGACCCAAACCTGGCTGATCACCAGACATTCAAATCCCTGGACAGGCAGGAGTAGCCGACTTCTAGGGGGACAGCCACCTCCTGATCAGGTGGAGACCAGTGGGACAGGAAAAGAGCCTGTATGAGATGATCCTGAAGCCACCCGACTCAGATTCATGGTCTGAGATAGGGTTATCATCTGAGTAGAAGAACTGAAAGGGAGCCTGGTGGCCGATGACCACTCCCTCCATTCCTTCCCTGGTCTGTCTGCAGAATGGCAACAGCTGCCATTTGATGGGTGGCCCAACCCAATGGAACCACTACCAGAAAACACCAATGTCCTTCAATGCTGCCCTAACCTTCTCCAAAAACCCTGCCCCTTCAAGGGGGCATCAGACAACATCGATAGATTCCTAGTGGACTGTGAACAGTATTTCGAAGTCTATGTCAGATATCTAGAGACCGATATGAACAGGGTCACCTTTGCCACCTCCTATCTGGAAGAAAAAGCCAAAATGTGGTGGATCTTGATCTCCCCAAGCTTCTGATCCACCATGTGGGGTCATTACCGATACCCCTCCTGGCCAGTGTTTAAATGGATGCTGAACAACAAATTCATTGATCCAGTGGTACAGGAAGTACACAAGCAGAAGATCAAAGAATACAAGATGGGCAACAAGGTGGCTACAGACTACTTTGATGAGCTGGAGAGACTCGCCAAACTAGCAGAAATACAGGATGACATAGGCAATGATGGACAAATGATCAAAGCCCTCAAGTGGGGAGTCCCCTCTTCATACCTTACAATGATTTCAGTGATGGGCATCAAAATGCTGATGCCCATCGGGTATGATGAATGGAAGAAATGAATCATCAAAATGTACAAAGAGCGACAAAGGCAGAAAGTGGAATTGTCGATGCTGCAAGATTACTTCAAGAAGCTGACCCTGCCAACCCTGAATAAACCAGGGTGAACTGCTGGGAAATCACAGGGATCCCCATCGACCTTGTCCTATGGAAGCCAGAAGACAGGAACTAGCACTACATACACTGGAGCCAGAAAACTGATGGACATTGACCATATGAAGAAAGAAGGAAAGTGCTTCAACTGCAGTCAAAAGGGGCACACAGTGACATGCCCTCTCCTCATTCAGGCATGTAAAATTGTGAAAATTGCGAATACATGGGCTGCATTCCAGGCCAGTAAGCATGTAACAGAAAATAGGACTAGAGCACACAGAAACCTCACTATCATAATGATAAACTGGAGTAACAATAAGCAGAGTGCATGGCCTAGTAACAGACTAATACCAGAGGGGTTAGGCTGCATGTGAGGTCCCAGCACTTGGCCCTAA